TGTCTTTAACGATCTTCTTGAATACCCCTAAAATGTTTCCACATGGCATCCGCTACTTAATATTGTCATTCACACCTCCCCCTTCCACTGACATGACAAGAGTCGGGAGAGAAACAGATATATTCGTCATCAAGTATAAACGAGAGATGGGGAAAGGGATTCGTGTATGAGTTTGGAGATAATATGGAAATCGTTTATAAACCGGTATTATTTCTCCATTCAGATTTATGCTTAATCAGCCTGGACACAGATGTTTGTAATTCCAGATTACAAGTCATGTGCCTTCATATGAAAAACTGAACTGAGTCAATGCAATTTCAAAAATGGGAAAGATAGTCCAATCATAGACTACATTTTGGGGAATGTTGGGGGTGACTTTGATCATTTTTCTTTTAACTAGTCTTTCCTTGATCATATCTAATCTTTCACGCAACATTTCAAATGTCATTGTTGTTGCTATTGTTGTTGTTCTTCTTCTCCTCCTTTTTCTTGTTCCTCACTAACGCATTTAGTTTATTTTAAAGTTTATTTGTTTTCATTTTCAATTAGAACTGGTGAACGTCTAGAAGATCTACTTGCAGGTGATATGAAGAACCTAGATTTGAACAGAAACAGGACGAAGACAAATGGTAAGGAGCCTCAGAAGAACATGAAAATGAAAAAAAGGAAAATATCGCTATTACCTCTACCATCTCACTATACCACCATCACCACGACAACCACCAATGCCATGCATCTCTACCACCACCAAAACCACCTCTATCACCCCCTCTAATATATACCTCCTTCACAGCCACCCCTACTACTTCTTCGTTCCTATTACTTTTTATCGTTCGCCTGATTTCCTGTATGCTGAGAAAAAATTGTACTTAATTCAGCAGAAAAGTTTTCTCTCGTACCTTATTAGTAATAAATTGTTCTCTTCTCGTATTTGTTAACCCTCCACTATTACTTCTAATGTGTATTGCTCGCAGTGGCGTACGCAGGATTTTTTCAAGGGTTTTTTTTTAACATTTTGAAATCGGGCCAAAAATTTCGCAACGACTCACTATTAATAAACAAATCTCAAGAATGGGGTTTTAACCCCCCCCCCCCCCCCTACGTACGCGCCTGATTGCTCGTAGGTAAACCAAATACTGATGTCTTTTATATGATTTTTCATCTACTTTCAGGTGCGTTAGCAACAAGAGTAGCAGAGGAGAGACGGCGTAGCATGGCCTCGTTATTATCATCTTCGGACAAAACACATTCTCGAACCTCCTCATCACTCTTCAACTTCCAGTTCGGCAAGTGCGTAGAGGAAGATTATGACGTCAGGAGAAGCACAGCAAACAGTCTAAACCGAAAACCCATCCCCTTTCCTCGAGATCCGAGCAAAATACGCACCATCCTGTCGCTAGCACCAAACAGAACATCATCGGATGTTTCGAAATCGGTGGCAGACTTTTTAAGATCGTCGGGTGTCGATTTAAGAATACCCATTGACGATGTCGTTGATGTCGAAGAGAAAGATGATATCAACAAGACACAGTTAACTGTCAAAGACACTACTCAGTCAGAAAAAGTTGAGCAAATGTCGGTAGATGTCACGCAAACTAACATTGTTCCTACAGCACCTCCTGATGTGACTTTGGAGAGTGGGGAGGTTGCATCATGAATAACCGACCATCTTGCATTCTGCTATAAAAGAAAGCAGATTTTAAGATTTTAAGGTGCAGCAAATGCACAAGGCGGAGTTTACAATTACAAATAAGGATGCCTTTGTCGCATCGCAAGCGTTTTATGCCCGAGTTGTCGAATAGGCCTGCTCCGTTCTAAGATGTTGCTATGATTGGTCAGTCAGTCAGTTAGTTTGAGTAACGTACATATGCCGCTTATGTAGGACGTGTCCAGAGTCGTCACGAAGAGGAAGCCAGGAATCGACAACAGTTTTTTTCTCATATGAGCATGAATTAGGGAATCCTATCGGCCCCCTCCAAATCGCGGGTATCTAAAGTCCGTCTGCACTAGTTTGGCCAGGGGGATTAGACCTCACTGCAAGGTCATTGACAGGTGTTTATCTCATCAAATCAGCTCTCATTAAAAAAAAGGTGATCATGTGGACCAACTGGCACCGATTAGGCATTGTTTGCTATATAGAGGGCGCAAGTAGCTATAAGTAGTGCAGTGGGGCTTTAAGACACCATAGATCAGCCAGTGATTTAGTTAGTGGTGGATGTCATTTGAGCCATCAAAAAAAAACTTTGAAATGAAGCGGTACGAAATGGACGAGAAAAATTACCCAATTTAGTAAAATACTAAATTACACCAGTGCTCTCTAGCTGGTTCCTTGTTTATTAATAGAATCGTGATTAATTTTGTTTTAAAGCGGGTTATCATGATTGCTGAGACTCAAAACGTCTTTTAACAGCCAGCATTCAGGTCTCCGATATTTAATTTGAAATTTATCCCACCAAGTGGGGCACGTTGGTGAAGGCTCTTGGCACTCAGACGGGAGGTCTTGGGTTCGATCCTGCTCGGTGCTTACATATTTGGACAAGGTGTTTTGCTTAAATTAATTTATCGCACTCCACCCAGGTGTATACATAGTAATGCTGGGGTAATGATATTTGCAGCTTCCATAAAAAGCGCATTATCAATACTGACGTGGCTTCCCTTGGTAAATAAGACCCAATTGATATTAATTGTATTTATATACATATGTTGTGGTCTTGCAGGCATGACCGATATGATCCTCGATCAAGAGAGATAAGAGAAATGTCGCAAATGAAAGGAGGAATATGGGTATGGTGTGCTCATGAATTATATAGTTATGCAGGTATTACTAATGTTTGCAGAAATTAATATGGCAATAAATGTGAGAATGATTTGAAATATGATTGACAAACATTTAAGAGTGAAGACTAAAACGTAACACAAGACTTAACCTTGTAACTACAGATTTGTCCCAGTTGCAAATAATGCATCCGATTCAGAAAAAAATTAGCCTTGATAAATTCATTCTATCGATTTCCTTCATATAAATTGGGCTAAACGTTGCATTACAAACTTGGATAGATATCGGGTATTAACGTCTAGTGTAATGACAGAATTGAATATGTGTTCATGTACTGGAATATTATGGATGAACAAGACTTGAATATGCATGAACGTGAATGTTATATTGATATAAATGTAATCTCCAAATCTGTGTCCATTTTGAAGATCAGTGTACATTGACTATAAAATATCGTCATGTGGAATTCAAATGTTTATGAACTGCCGATAGTTTTTTTTAATTTGAATATTTGTTGTTTGGAGTATTCTATATTCTATGTTATGTAAGGGTATGAAAACTATGTGCAATTTATTTTTACTCGAGTATAGAATAAGATCGTCGTCAATTCATGAAATTTAAAAAAAAAATCTTACACGTGGATGTTTTTTATGATAGCATAGCCGTTAAATCATGGTCGCTGAGCATAATTTCACAAGTGTGGTAATTCTCAGTTAGTTCAATATTTTAATAATTAATTCAAAAATATAACAAACTATACCTGTATGTTAGAAATGCAGCATGATTATTGTACATAAATAAGAAGGACAAGGTCAAACAGTAATTGTACATAGATTGCAAATGTTCTTCAAAAGAAAACTTTTATTGTAATTTTGTTTTATACTGTAAATACAATTTTATTTAACAATGATTAAATTCTATATAGCCTGTTTCTTATAAAAGAAGTTTGTCTTTGTCTCCTTGTGTGCATTCCAATCAAACAAAAGTCGTCACAATTTCTTTTTCTCTTTTTCAAATTCATCCATTTCGCATTGTGTTTGAAATCATACAGATGCAAAACATATAAAACTCATACTTTGATGACAATTTTCAATTACCAAGTAAACTATAATGTACAGAAATTACTGATAAAGTTGAGGAAAGCAACATGATTTACGTATATACCTGAGCATCAACACTTAAAGACTGCGTAAATGACACGAACAGTACAGCAATATCTAATTACCGCCCTTCTTCACCTTTATACGGAAAATATAAAATATAAACAAAATATTTACAAGCATCTTTGTGATAAGCCTGATATCAACTGCACTTTCTCGTAGATAGACACATCATGTTTACCACATGCTATTCTACAAAATGGCAATAGTATAAAAAAGACATTTACTAGCTTGGAGATATGGATGTACAGTGCGTCCCAGAAAAAACAAAACCGAGAATTATCGATGTTTAATTATAACTTAATCACAATTATTATTGATAAATGACACATGTTTCGAAAGCTTAGATCCTCCTCTTTCATTTGATGCAACTCATATAATGCATATTTCACGCATGAGTGGTAAAAATGAATTTGAAGAGAGGAAACCAAAAAGTTATTTGGCGGACGGTTTCTGAATTTCAAAGAAAAAAATCACATTTCTAGAAAGTAGAGTTTTTGCCCTTTCATATGACCCCTTAGTCAGGAAAAATGAGCTAGGAATAACAAAGTTCTATTTGTTTAAAGTAGTGCTTGCATTTCCATAATTTCATTAAACGAATTCGTTTTCACTGACTGCCTGCCGTAGCAACCAACGGAATTAACAAAAGACTTAACTCCGTTTCCTTGATATTGATATTTCACATATTGGGGAGGGGCAAGTGCCCCCTGAAGCTACACCAAAGGTGTTGGAAATAACTTAACTTGCCGTAACGTCCCTCTGGACATCTGTTTTCACACAAATCTCCTATCCATCCTGGTTGGCATAAACAACTCCCATCGATATGGTTGCACGAAGTTTTTTTCATAATAACTGATATTGTTCGAGGAGGGCTGTAACGGATATCTGCCTCACCCATCCCTATAAAAGCAAAGAACAACAAATAAAGAACTCGGTAATGATATCAAACCTTCCGAGCTGACATTGCAATCATATTGAGCACTTCGTGCTTGCTATATATATATATATATATATATAACATAATAACAACGAAAACAACAATGATAGAATGGTAGGATGGGTTATCGTATCACGTTGAAAACAAGCCAACTAAATGAATCAACATTCCTTTGGTATGAACCTTGCAACCATCTTATGGACTGCAACTAACTAAACAGACAATTTTCATCATGATTATTATACAAATTATACAAAATATTATGAAGTAGCAAAGCATTAACCATGTTAGGAATCATTGCCAAATAGTTGCATGGATTATCCCGCTGCAGAGTTATTGTAATCGCCTAGAGGGCGAGACAATCATACGGATTAAAGAACAGTGTTTTCTCTCATCGCTTACAGTGCATGAAAATAAGAAGGGCACATTTCCACATGGAATCTTTTGGTCCAATTTGGATCGAATTTGTTAAAAGCATTAGAGAGCAAAATGGAGCTACAAACGATTTGGCATTATTTTCATTTTTTTAAATATATGCTTAGAGCAGCCACACACAATGACTCGCAGGATATTATAAGCTGGATTCCCGCTCGACGATGTCATCCTCTGGCATACGAACGCTGATGACCTCGACGCTTCCTTCCAAGTACTGCTGTCGTGTCTCTTCCGTATCACCATTCGATGTTGACTTCCAATCCGACTGCGATCCCGGTTTGCCTGAATAGTAAGAAAACGAGACAACTTTTACGCTGGTTGTGTGAATGTGGATTAGCTAGGAGTATACTCAATGATGATCATTGAGTATTTTTTTTTTTTTGGGGGGGGAGGGGGGTATGTTTGTTGAATTAAGCGAGCGAGCACATTTTGAAAGGTTTATAGTTTACTTAATTGACATCCTCTGATGATGCAGCATCATCCAACGTGTATAAATTTATGATTAAACATTACTAACAAAACACCTCGCTGAAAAAAAGAGATGATGGTTACCCAAATAAAATGTCATTTCAAGCTTTTCTGCAACCTCTACCCACCCTCCACCACCACTTACGTCGGTTTGGATGTGCATGAGCTTTTCGCCGCCCCATAGAAGACATTCTATCACTCAATCAATTTTGGCGGCAGCCATTCACAATAAATATTTCAGCATGTTACGGAATGCAACCAAATTAAACTGATCTTTATGATTAAAAAGAAAAGAAGAAGAAGAAGAAGAAAGAAAAAAAAACCTTCAAAAGTAAAGATTTAAAATACATGTACTTCTAATTTTCAAACGCAGATGGCGCTAATGCACTCATTTGATATCCTCACATCCATCCGCATTATCAAAAATAAGGGTGTAGCTATATTAGTGTACACTGAACGAGGGAATCGTTTCTTTCAAATAACTAACCTAATAAGTTTTGATTGATTACGTCTAGTTTATCACCATTAATGTCTACCCGATGAGAACGACCATCAGTGGCTTTTGGAACACTGAATATGAGGAAGAAAGAAAATATGTATTAGATAATAATGCTTTCACTTGTAACTGATCTCATACCAAATAGAATAAGGTGCTTTTAAAATTAATTAACAGCTAAACTGCTTCCCTGCCGGCTTGATGCAATATCTAAATCTGAACCGCTAACCTGGAAGCTTTCGCATGTAAATGTGTCCAATGTGTGCTTCTACTATGAGCAAAAAGGGAATAAGTCCAAATGATAAAAATAACACCCTTCAACCTATTTGATAACAGCTATTGTTTTCTCATTCTTTACTTCGTATTACTTTCATGATTCTCGATTTCCCAACTTCAGCCCCTGGACCGAACACTGTACCTATACTTAAATCTAACCCCAATCCTTAACCTAACATGAAAACCATTTTCAACCCTAACTCTCTATTTTTAGCAAAATAAACCCGGTGCAAATGTTTGATACCACACCTGTTAATTGCTTGTGGTGGTCGGTGCTTTACCCGTCGAATGACGTAGGCAATTACTGCAACAACAACAAATATCACTATAGCACTCCCAACAGTGACACCAGTGATCACTCCTAACTGGTCTTGTTTGGAACTTGGCTCTTTGGTCTCAACAGCAGCAACGTAGAGGTCTGCTAAATACAGAAGAAGGTAATGAGAGACAGGCGCGTAGCCAGGCGGGGACGATGGGGGCGGTCGCCCCCCCCCCCCCCCCCCCCCAACAAAACGCCGGCCAAAAAAAAGAGAGAGAGAGAGAGAAAAAAAAAAAGAAAGGAAGAGGAAGTAGGAAGAAAAAAGGATTAAGAGTCGAGAACGGTACAACGGATCGCTTTCTTTCTATAGTAATCTAATGACACGTCAAAGCTTTCGCGCTTCGCAAAAGGACGGGGGAAACTCCCCCCCTCCCTGCACCCACCCCCTAGGGAGTGCGCTATGCGAGCTTGGTAAGTGATTCGCACTCTTTGCGTGCTCACTACCGCCCCCCCCCCCTAAAATAAAATCCTGGCTACGCGCTTGATGAGAGGAAAGAAGTAGAGAAAGTACAAAATATTGGTGTAGTGGCACACTTTCGCCAAGGGCCTGACTATCAAGTTTCCATTCAAATATACTTTTGGAAGTAAACGAGGCGAGGGAGCAAACCATTGGAATAGAAGTACGGTGATATCGTTCAGTATTTCGTAGTTATGGTACTAGAAAGGATATGTAGATGGAATATAACACCCAGCTGCCCGATTATGATGTTAAGATTGCTCAAATTATTTGTAATTTTAAAATCCAAAGGGAGAATGATTTGGTAAATAAATGAAAACCATGTAGCTGTAAAACAAAACGTTTGTGGTGAAAATAATCGTGTAATATTGAACGGAAAATTCAAGCTACTAACATGATTATTTAGATATAAATAGTACAGATTTACAATGCACGAATATAGTTTATTTATCACTTAATCAAGTGAACGTTTCCCTTTTTTCTTTTGGTACTCCACTTGATAATTCTAAAATAAAAATATGACTTTGAACATTTGAAGTGTGATCCCACCTTGGCAGTATCCAGTCTCTGGATCACAGAAGTCAGTCAGCTGACAATTACACACCGAGCTGCAATGGAGACCAAAGGTACCGTCTTGACATTGATCTTTACACCCGACACCTATCCATCCTGGAAGACAGTCTATGCACCCAAGGACGGGATCACAAACTCCACCGTTCATACATGCGCAAGTATGGGCACATACTGGGCCGTAAGTGTCATTGGCGCACAGTTCCTCACACCGAGGACCAGTTAATCCTGGGTCACACAAGCAGCCAAGTTCATTATGACACGAGCTGTTCGTGCTACAGTCGCATGTCGAAGAACATTTTAGACCATACGTGCCATCAGGACAGACGCTGTTACAACCCTGTCCTAACCATCCTGCGTCACACACGCATCCAACTTCTGGGTCACAAGTACCGTGCTGGTTACATGAGCATACTTCGGAACAACCGATACCGAATGTGCCATCTGGACAGCTTTCAGCGCAGTTGGGCCCTCTCCATCCAGCATTACATAAGCATGAACCATCCACCGGGTCACATGAACCGCCATTCTGACATGAACATTTCTCTGCACAATTCTGTCCAAAGAACCCTTCAGGGCACTGCTGTCCACAATACATGCCTTCCCAGCCACGATCACATGAGCACGACCCATCAGCAGCATTACAACGTCCATTTTCTTCACAGCGGCAGAGCTCGGTGCAGTTGGAACCGAATCGGCCTTCTGGACAAGGTGTAGCACAGATCTCCCCCATCCATCCAGCTGAACAGGCACAAGAACCATTTACATGATGACAGGCGGCACCATTTTGACACTGGCAGATAAGAGAACATTGGTGACCATAGTAACCAGAAGAACATCTTTCGTCACACAGTTCCCCGATCCATCCTTGCTGACAAGTGCACGCCCCATCTATGTGATTGCACTCTGCAACGTTTTGACATCCACAAGGCTCCTGGCACATATGTCCAAAGTAACCCCTTGAACACGATTCATTACACTGTAAACCGAACCATCCAGGAGGACAATTACACGTACCATCCATTGGGTTGCACGATGTGATGTTATGACAAGTACATACATCCACACAGTTGTACCCATAATATCCTGGAGGACATGTTTCTTCACACATGGATCCTATGAATCCAGATTGGCAAATACAGAATCCAGTGACATGGTGACACGTTCCGTAATTCTGGCACAAGCATGTTTCTTGACAATCTTGGCCATAGAAACCCTCTTCACACCAGTCTCTACACGTAGGTCCAATCCAGCCTGGTTTACAGGAGCATGATCCATCGACATGATGGCAAGCTCCACCAATTTCACAATGACATCGCCCTAAGCACTCACTACCAAAGAATCCCTCTGGACATTTCTGATCACATATGTCACCAATCCATCCGGACGAACAGGTACATGATCCATCGATGTGGCTGCATGATGAATTATTCTGGCACACGCAAAGTTCAAGACAATCTTTTCCAAAGAAACCTCGAACACACCTTTCATCGCATATGGCTCTAGTCCATCCCGGTTCACAAGTACATGAACCATTGATGTGATCGCATGTACCATCATTCTGGCATTGACATATTTCATGACATCCATGACCAAAGAATCCTTCTCTGCATCTCTCATTACAAAGCTGTCCAGTCCAACCCGGAGAACAAGAACAAGACCCATCAATGTTACTGCAACTTCCACCATTTGCACATCGACACTGTTGTAAACAACCAGATCCGAAAAGTCCAAAAGGGCACGCTTGTTCACAGAACTCCCCGATCCATCCAGGTCCGCAAAGGCAGGACCCATCTAGATTATCACATGTGGCACCATTCTGGCACTGACAGCGCTCCTGGCAGTCTTGTCCATAGAAGTTTTCGTTGCAGGGCTCAGCACAAGTGACACCTTGCCATCCTGGAGCACAGGAACAAGCTCCACTAACATGATGACAAGTTCCTCTATTAACACACTGGCACTGTTGCAGGCATTCGTTCCCATAATATCCTACTGGACACTTTTCAGCACACACTTCCCCAGTCCATCCAGATTTACAAGTGCATATTCCATCGATGTGATCGCATGTGCCATCATTCTGGCATTGACATAACTGTCGGCAGTCTTGTCCGAAAAATCCATCCTGGCAACGTGCACTGCATGCCATGCCAGTCCAACCTGGAAAACAATTACATGAACCATCAACATGGTCACACAATCCACCACTTGTGCAACCACAAAGAAGCATACAAGCATTGCCGTAACGTCCCTCTGGACATCTGTTTTCACACAAATCTCCTATCCATCCTGGTTGGCATAAACAACTCCCATCGATATGGTTGCACGAAGCATTGTTTCGACAGGCGCAAACTTCCCGGCATTGTAGACCAAAGGAGCTGTCTCCACAAGGGGATTTGCAATCTAGTCCTATCCAACCAGCAGTACACGTGCATGAGCCATCTATGTGGTTGCATGTTCCTCCATTTTCACATTGGCACTGTTGTGAGCATTCAAGCCCATAGAACCCTTCTGGACATTCTTGTTCACATGTTTCTCCAATAAAACCTTTACCACACCTGCATGATCCATCCACATGAAAACAGGTGCCTCCATTTTGACATCTGCATTCCACAGTACATCCTAATCCATAGGTGTCTGTCGGGCAAACCTCAGTACACAAGTCCCCAGTCCATCCAGGTTGGCAGCTGCATGACCCGGAAACAGGGTCACATGCGCCATCGTTAAGACACTGACATTCATTCTCACAGTTCAATCCGAAGGTACCATCCGCACAGGTATCCGTACAGAATTGTCCTCGCCAGCCAGCCAGGCATGAACAAGTGCCGTCGACATGATTGCATTCAGCTCCATTTTCACACAAGCATCCATATTCACAGTTCATTCCGTATGAACCTTGTGGACATCTTTCATCGCAGAGATCACCCGTCCACCCAGGACTGCAATCGCAGTGACCATCCTTATGATGGCAATGTGCTCCGTTCTGGCACAGGCAATCCGTTCGACAACCTTCGCCAAAGAAGTTTTCTGGACACATCTCAGAACATGTCTCTCCAATCCAGCCTGGTGCACAAAAGCATGAACCACTGGTGTGGCTACAATTCGCACCGTTCACGCAAGAACACACAGCTCTGCAGTCAAGTCCATAAAACCCTTCCTGACATCCAACATCACAGACTTCCCCCATCCAACCTGATGAACAAGTGCAGGTTCCATCTGTCTGATTACAGTGTGCTCCGTTTTGACATAGGCATTCCTGTGAACACCCAGTTCCGAACGTACCAAGAGGACATGGTTGGTGACATCTTGGTCCAGTCCAACCCGGTTTACAAGTACATGAACCATCGATGTAATCGCATGTACCATCATTCTGGCATTGACATATTTCATGACATCCATGACCAAAGAATCCTTCTCTGCATCTCTCATTACAAAGCTGTCCAGTCCAACCCGGAGAACAAGAACAAGACCCATCAATGTTACTGCAACTTCCACCATTTGCACATCGACACTGTTGTAAACAACCAGATCCGAAAAGTCCAAAAGGGCACGCTTGTTCACAGAACTCCCCGATCCATCCAGGTCCGCAAAGGCAGGACCCATCTAGATTATCACATGTGGCACCATTCTGGCACTGACAGCGCTCCTGGCAGTCTTGTCCATAGAAGTTTTCGTTGCAGGGCTCAGCACAAGTGACACCTTGCCATCCTGGAGCACAGGAACAAGCTCCACTAACATGATGACAAGTTCCTCTATTAACACACTGGCACTGTTGCAGGCATTCGTTCCCATAAGATCCTACTGGACACTTTTCAGCACACACTTCCCCAGTCCATCCAGATTTACAAGTGCATATTCCATCGATGTGATCGCATGTGCCATCATTCTGGCATTGACATAACTGTCGGCAGTCTTGTCCGAAAAATCCGTCCTGGCAACGTGCACTGCATGCCATGCCAGTCCAACCTGGAAAACAATTACATGAACCATCAACATGGTCACACAATCCACCACTTGTGCAACCACAAAGAAGCATACAAGCATTGCCGTAACGTCCCTCTGGACATCTGTTTTCACACAAATCTCCTATCCATCCTGGTTGGCATAAACAACTCCCATCGATATGGTTGCACGAAGCATTGTTTCGACAGGCGCAAACTTCCCGGCATTGTAGACCAAAGGAGCTGTCTCCACAAGGGGATTTGCAATCTAGTCCTATCCAACCAGCAGTACACGTGCATGAGCCATCTATGTGGTTGCATGTTCCTCCATTTTCACATTGGCACTGTTGTGAGCATTCAAGCCCATAGAACCCTTCTGGACATTCTTGTTCACATGTTTTTCCAATAAAACCTTTACCACACCTGCATGATCCATCCACATGAAAACAGGTGCCTCCATTTTGACATCTGCATTCCACAGTACATCCTAATCCATAGGTGTCTGTCGGGCAAACCTCAGTACACAAGTCCCCAGTCCATCCAGGTTGGCAGCTGCATGACCCGGAAACAGGGTCACATGCGCCATCGTTAAGACACTGACATTCATTCTCACAGTTCAATCCGAAGGTACCATCCGCACAGGTATCCGTACAGAATTGTCCTCGCCAGCCAGCCAGGCATGAACAAGTGCCGTCGACATGATTGCATTCAGCTCCATTTTCACACAAGCATCCATATTCACAGTTCATTCCGTATGAACCTTGTGGACATCTTTCATCGCAGAGATCACCCGTCCACCCAGGACTGCAATCGCAGTGACCATCCTTATGATGGCAATGTGCTCCGTTCTGGCACAGGCAATCCGTTCGACAACCTTCGCCAAAGAAGTTTTCTGGACACATCTCAGAACATGTCTCTCCAATCCAGCCTGGTGCACAAAAGCATGAACCACTGGTGTGGCTACAATTCGCACCGTTCACGCAAGAACACACAGCTCTGCAGTCAAGTCCATAAAACCCTTCCTGACATCCAACATCACAGACTTCCCCCATCCAACCTGATGAACAAGTGCAGGTTCCATCTGTCTGATTACAGTGTGCTCCGTTTTGACATAGGCATTCCTGTGAACACCCAGTTCCGAACGTACCAAGAGGACATGGTTGGTGACATCTTGGTCCAGTCCATCCCGGTTTACAAGTACATGAACCATCGATGTAATCGCATGTACCATCATTCTGGCATTGACATATTTCATGACATCCATGACCAAAGAATCCTTCTCTGCATCTCTCATTACAAAGCTGTCCAGTCCAACCCGGAGAACAAGAACAAGACCCATCAATGTTACTGCAACTTCCACCATTTGCACATCGACACTGTTGTAAACAACCAGATCCGAAAAGTCCAAAAGGGCACGCTTGTTCACAGAACTCCCCGATCCATCCAGGTCCGCAAAGGCAGGACCCATCTAGATTATCACATGTGGCACCATTCTGGCACTGACAGCGCTCCTGGCAGTCTTGTCCATAGAAGTTTTCGTTGCAGGGCTCAGCACAAGTGACACCTTGCCATCCTGGAGCACAGGAACAAGCTCCACTAACATGATGACAAGTTCCTCTATTAACACACTGGCACTGTTGCAGGCATTCGTTCCCATAAGATCCTACTGGACACTTTTCAGCACACACTTCCCCAGTCCATCCAGATTTACAAGTGCATATTCCATCGATGTGATCGCATGTGCCATCATTCTGGCATTGACATAACTGTCGGCAGTCTTGTCCGAAAAATCCATCCTGGCAACGTGCACTGCATGCCATGCCAGTCCAACCTGGAAAACAATTACATGAACCATCAACATGGTCACACAATCCACCACTTGTGCAACCACAAAGAAGCATACAAGCATTGCCGTAACGTCCCTCTGGACATCTGTTTTCACACAAATCTCCTATCCATCCTGGTTGGCATAAACAACTCCCATCGATATGGTTGCACGAAGCATTGTTTCGACAGGCGCAAACTTCCCGGCATTGTAGACCAAAGGAGCTGTCTCCACAAGGGGATTTGCAATCTAGTCCTATCCAACCAGCAGTACACGTGCATGAGCCATCTATGTGGTTGCATGTTCCTCCATTTTCACATTGGCACTGTTGTGAGCATTCAAGCCCATAGAACCCTTCTGGACATTCTTGTTCACATGTTTCTCCAATAAAACCTTTACCACACCTGCATGATCCATCCACATGAAAACAGGTGCCTCCATTTTGACATCTGCATTCCACAGTACATCCTAATCCATAGGTGTCTGTCGGGCAAACCTCAGTACACAAGTCCCCAGTCCATCCAGGTTGGCAGCTGCATGACCCGGAAACAGGGTCACATGCGCCATCGTTAAGACACTGACATTCATTCTCACAGTTCAATCCGAAGGTACCATCCGCACAGGTATCCGTACAGAATTGTCCTCGCCAGCCAGCCAGGCATGAACAAGTGCCGTCGACATGATTGCATTCAGCTCCATTTTCACACAAGCATCCATATTCACAGTTCATTCCGTATGAACCTTGTGGACATCTTTCATCGCAGAGATCACCCGTCCACCCAGGACTGCAATCGCAGTGACCATCCTTATGATGGCAATGTGCTCCGTTCTGGCACAGGCAATCCGTTCGACAACCTTCGCCAAAGAAGTTTTCTGGACATATCTCAGAACATGTCTCTCCAATCCAGCCTGGTGCACAAAAGCATGAACCACTGGTGTGGCTACAATTCGCACCGTTCACGCAAGAACACACAGCTCTGCAGTCAAGTCCATAAAACCCTTCCTGACATCCAACATCACAGACTTCCCCCATCCAACCTGATGAACAAGTGCAGGTTCCATCTGTCTGATTACAGTGTGCTCCGTTTTGACATAGGCATTCCTGTGAACACCCAGTTCCGAACGTACCAAGAGGACATGGTTGGTGACATCTTGGTCCAGTCCATCCCGGTTTACAAGTACATGAACCATCGATGTAATCGCATGTACCATCATTCTGGCATTGACATATTTCATGACATCCATGACCAAAGAATCCTTCTCTGCATCTCTCATTACAAAGCTGTCCAGTCCAACCCGGAGAACAAGAACAAGACCCATCAATGTTACTGCAACTTCCACCATTTGCACATCGACACTGTTGTAAACAACCAGATCCGAAAAGTCCAAAAGGGCACGCTTGTTCACAGAACTCCCCGATCCATCCAGGTCCGCAAAGGCAGGACCCATCTAGATTATCACATGTGGCACCATTCTGGCACTGACAGCGCTCCTGGCAGTCTTGTCCATAGAAGTTTTCGTTGCAGGGCTCAGCACAAGTGACACCTTGCCATCCTGGAGCACAGGAACAAGCTCCACTAACATGATGACAAGTTCCTCTATTAACACACTGGCACTGTTGCAGGCATTCGTTCCCATAAGATCCTACTGGACACTTTTCAGCACACACTTCCCCAGTCCATCCAGATTTACAAGTGCATATTCCATCGATGTGATCGCATGTGCCATCATTCTGGCATTGACATAACTGTCGGCAGTCTTGTCCGAAAAATCCATCCTGGCAACGTGCACTGCATGCCATGCCAGTCCAACCTGGAAAACAATTACATGAACCATCAACATGGTCACACAATCCACCACTTGTGCAACCACAAAGAAGCATACAAGCATTGCCGTAACGTCCCTCTGGACATCTGTTTTCACACAAATCTCCTATCCATCCTGGTTGGCATAAACAACTCCCATCGATATGGTTGCACGAAGCATTGTTTCGACAGGCGCAAACTTCCCGGCATTGTAGACCAAAGGAGCTGTCTCCACAAGGGGATTTGCAATCTAGTCCTATCCAACCAGCAGTACACGTGCATGAGCCATCTATGTGGTTGCATGTTCCTCCATTTTCACATTGGCACTGTTGTGAGCATTCAAGCCCATAGAACCCTTCTGGACATTCTTGTTCACATGTTTCTCCAATAAAACCTTTACCACACCTGCATGATCCATCCACATGAAAACAGGTGCCTCCATTTTGACATCTACATTCCACAGTACATCCTAATCCATAGGTGTCTGTCGGGCAAACCTCAGTACACAAGTCCCCAGTCCATCCAGGTTGGCAGCTGCATGATCCGAAAACAGGGTCACATGCGCCATCGTTAAGACACTGACATTCATTCTCACAGTTCAATCCGAAGGTACCATCCGCACAGGTATCCGTACAGAATTGTCCTCGCCAGCCAGCCAGGCATGAACAAGTGCCGTCGACATGATTGCATTCAGCTCCATTTTCACACAAGCATCCATATTCACAGTTCATTCCGTATGAACCTTGTGGACATCTTTCATCGCAGAGATCACCCGTCCACCCAGGACTGCAATCGCAGTGACCATCCTTATGATGGCAATGTGCTCCGTTCTGGCACAGGCAATCCGTTCGACAACCTTCGCCAAAGAAGTTTTCTGGACACATCTCAGAACATGTCTCTCCAATCCAGCCTGGTGCACAAAAGCATGAACCACTGGTGTGGCTACAATTCGCACCGTTCACGCAAGAACACACAGCTCTGCAGTCAAGTCCATAAAACCCTTCCTGACATCCAACATCACAGACTTCCCCCATCCAACCTGATGAACAAGTGCAGGTTCCATCTGTCTGATTACAGTGTGCTCCGTTTTGACATAGGCATTCCTGTGAACACCCAGTTCCGAACGTACCAAGAGGACATGGTTGGTGACATCTTGGTCCAGTCCATCCCGGTTTACAAGTACATGAACCATCGATGTAATCGCATGTACCATCATTCTGGCATTGACATATTTCATGACATCCATGACCAAAGAATCCTTCTCTGCATCTCTCATTACAAAGCTGTCCAGTCCAACCCGGAGAACAAGAACAAGACCCATCAATGTTACTGCAACTTCCACCATTTGCACATCGACACTGTTGTAAACAACCAGATCCGAAAAGTCCAAAAGGGCACGCTTGTTCACAGAACTCCCCGATCCATCCAGGTCCGCAAAGGCAGGACCCATCTAGATTATCACATGTGGCACCATTCTGGCACTGACAGCGCTCCTGGCAGTCTTGTCCATAGAAGTTTTCGTTGCAGGGCTCAGCACAAGTGACACCTTGCCATCCTGGAGCACAGGAACAAGCTCCACTAACATGATGACAAGTTCCTCTATTAACACACTGGCACTGTTGCAGGCATTCGTTCCCATAAGATCCTACTGGACACTTTTCAGCACACACTTCCCCAGTCCATCCAGATTTACAAGTGCATATTCCATCGATGTGATCGCATGTGCCATCATTCTGGCATTGACATAACTGTCGGCAGTCTTGTCCGAAAAATCCATCCTGGCAACGTGCACTGCATGCCATGCCAGTCCAACCTGGAAAACAATTACATGAACCATCAACATGGTCACACAATCCACCACTTGTGCAACCACAAAGAAGCATACAAGCATTGCCGTAACGTCCCTCTGGACATCTGTTTTCACACAAATCTCCTATCCATCCTGGTTGGCATAAACAACTCCCATCGATATGGTTGCACGAAGCATTGTTTCGACAGGCGCAAACTTCCCGGCATTGTAGACCAAAGGAGCTGTCTCCACAAGGGGATTTGCAATCTAGTCCTATCCAACCAGCAGTACACGTGCATGAGCCATCTATGTGGTTGCATGTTCCTCCATTTTCACATTGGCACTGTTGTGAGCATTCAAGCCCATAGAACCCTTCTGGACATTCTTGTTCACATGTTTCTCCAATAAAACCTTTACCACACCTGCATGATCCATCCACATGAAAACAGGTGCCTCTATTTTGACATCTACATTCCACAGTACATCCTAATCCATAGGTGTCTGTCGGGCAAACCTCAGTACACAAGTCCCCAGTCCATCCAGGTTGGCAGCTGCATGATCCGAAAACAGGGTCACATGCGCCATCGTTAAGACACTGACATTCATTCTCACAGTTCAATCCGAAGGTACCATCCGCACAGGTATCCGTACAGAATTGTCCTCGCCAGCCAGCCAGGCATGAACAAGTGCCGTCGACATGATTGCATTCAGCTCCATTTTCACACAAGCATCCATATTCACAGTTCATTCCGTATGAACCTTGTGGACATCTTTCATCGCAGAGATCACCCGTCCACCCAGGACTGCAATCGCAGTGACCATCCTTATGATGGCAATGTGCTCCGTTCTGGCACAGGCAATCCGTTCGACAACCTTCGCCAAAGAAGTTTTCTGGACACATCTCAGAACATGTCTCTCCAATCCAGCCTGGTGCACAAAAGCATGAACCACTGGTGTGGCTACAATTCGCACCGTTCACGCAAGAACACACAGCTCTGCAGTCAAGTCCATAAAACCCTTCCTGACATCCAACATCACAGACTTCCCCCATCCAACCTGATGAACAAGTGCAGGTTCCATCTGTCTGATTACAGTGTGCTCCGTTTTGACATAGGCATTCCTGTGAACACCCAGTTCCGAACGTACCAAGAGGACATGGTTGGTGACATCTTGGTCCAGTCCATCCCGGTTTACAAGTACATGAACCATCGATGTAATCGCATGTACCATCATTCTGGCATTGACATATTTCATGACATCCATGACCAAAGAATCCTTCTCTGCATCTCTCATTACAAAGCTGTCCAGTCCAACCCGGAGAACAAGAACAAGACCCATCAATGTTACTGCAACTTCCACCATTTGCACATCGACACTGTTGTAAACAACCAGATCCGAAAAGTCCAAAAGGGCACGCTTGTTCACAGAACTCCCCGATCCATCCAGGTCCGCAAAGGCAGGACCCATCTAGATTATCACATGTGGCACCATTCTGGCACTGACAGCGCTCCTGGCAGTCTTGTCCATAGAAGTTTTCGTTGCAGGGCTCAGCACAAGTGACACCTTGCCATCCTGGAGCACAGGAACAAGCTCCACTAACATGATGACAAGTTCCTCTATTAACACACTGGCACTGTTGCAGGCATTCGTTCCCATAAGATCCTACTGGACACTTTTCAGCACACACTTCCCCAGTCCATCCAGATTTACAAGTGCATATTCCATCGATGTGATCGCATGTGCCATCATTCTGGCATTGACATAACTGTCGGCAGTCTTGTCCGAAAAATCCATCCTGGCAACGTGCACTGCATGCCATGCCAGTCCAACCTGGAAAACAATTACATGAACCATCAACATGGTCACACAATCCACCACTTGTGCAACCACAAAGAAGCATACAAGCATTGCCGTAACGTCCCTCTGGACATCTGTTTTCACACAAATCTCCTATCCATCCTGGTTGGCATAAACAACTCCCATCGATATGGTTGCACGAAGCATTGTTTCGACAGGCGCAAACTTCCCGGCATTGTAGACCAAAGGAGCTGTCTCCACAAGGGGATTTGCAATCTAGTCCTATCCAACCAGCAGTACACGTGCATGAGCCATCTATGTGGTTGCATGTTCCTCCATTTTCACATTGGCACTGTTGTGAGCATTCAAGCCCATAGAACCCTTCTGGACATTCTTGTTCACATGTTTCTCCAATAAAACCTTTACCACACCTGCATGATCCATCCACATGAAAACAGGTGCCTCTATTTTGACATCTACATTCCACAGTACATCCTAATCCATAGGTGTCTGTCGGGCAAACCTCAGTACACAAGTCCCCAGTCCATCCAGGTTGGCAGCTGCATGATCCGAAAACAGGGTCACATGCGCCATCGTTAAGACACTGACATTCATTCTCACAGTTCAATCCGAAGGTACCATCCGCACAGGTATCCGTACAGAATTGTCCTCGCCAGCCAGCCAGGCATGAACAAGTGCCGTCGACATGATTGCATTCAGCTCCATTTTCACACAAGCATCCATATTCACAGTTCATTCCGTATGAACCTTGTGGACATCTTTCATCGCAGAGATCACCCGTCCACCCAGGACTGCAATCGCAGTGACCATCCTTATGATGGCAATGTGCTCCGTTCTGGCACAGGCAATCCGTTCGACAACCTTCGCCAAAGAAGTTTTCTGGACACATCTCAGAACATGTCTCTCCAATCCAGCCTGGTGCACAAAAGCATGAACCACTGGTGTGGCTACAATTCGCACCGTTCACGCAAGAACACACAGCTCTGCAGTCAAGTCCATAAAACCCTTCCTGACATCCAACATCACAGACTTCCCCCATCCAACCTGATGAACAAGTGCAGGTTCCATCTGTCTGATTACAGTGTGCTCCGTTTTGACATAGGCATTCCTGTGAACACCCAGTTCCGAACGTACCAAGAGGACATGGTTGGTGACATCTTGGTCCAGTCCATCCCGGTTTACAAGTACATGAACCATCGATGTAATCGCATGTACCATCATTCTGGCATTGACATATTTCATGACATCCATGACCAAAGAATCCTTCTCTGCATCTCTCATTACAAAGCTGTCCAGTCCAACCCGGAGAACAAGAACAAGACCCATCAATGTTACTGCAACTTCCACCATTTGCACATCGACACTGTTGTAAACAACCAGATCCGAAAAGTCCAAAAGGGCACGCTTGTTCACAGAACTCCCCGATCCATCCAGGTCCGCAAAGGCAGGACCCATCTAGATTATCACATGTGGCACCATTCTGGCACTGACAGCGCTCCTGGCAGTCTTGTCCATAGAAGTTTTCGTTGCAGGGCTCAGCACAAGTGACACCTTGCCATCCTGGAGCACAGGAACAAGCTCCACTAACATGATGACAAGTTCCTCTATTAACACACTGGCACTGTTGCAGGCATTCGTTCCCATAAGATCCTACTGGACACTTTTCAGCACACACTTCCCCAGTCCATCCAGATTTACAAGTGCATATTCCATCGATGTGATCGCATGTGCCATCATTCTGGCATTGACATAACTGTCGGCAGTCTTGTCCGAAAAATCCATCCTGGCAACGTGCACTGCATGCCATGCCAGTCCAACCTGGAAAACAATTACATGAACCATCAACATGGTCACACAATCCACCACTTGTGCAACCACAAAGAAGCATACAAGCATTGCCGTAACGTCCCTCTGGACATCTGTTTTCACACAAATCTCCTATCCATCCTGGTTGGCATAAACAACTCCCATCGATATGGTTGCACGAAGCATTGTTTCGACAGGCGCAAACTTCCCGGCATTGTAGACCAAAGGAGCTGTCTCCACAAGGGGATTTGCAATCTAGTCCTATCCAACCAGCAGTACACGTGCATGAGCCATCTATGTGGTTGCATGTTCCTCCATTTTCACATTGGCACTGTTGTGAGCATTCAAGCCCATAGAACCCTTCTGGACATTCTTGTTCACATGTTTCTCCAATAAAACCTTTACCACACCTGCATGATCCATCCACATGAAAACAGGTGCCTCCATTTTGACATCTACATTCCACAGTACATCCTAATCCATAGGTGTCTGTCGGGCAAACCTCAGTACACAAGTCCCCAGTCCATCCAGGTTGGCAGCTGCATGATCCGAAAACAGGGTCACATGCGCCATCGTTAAGACACTGACATTCATTCTCACAGTTCAATCCGAAGGTACCATCCGCACAGGTATCCGTACAGAATTGTCCTCGCCAGCCAGCCAGGCATGAACAAGTGCCGTCGACATGATTGCATTCAGCTCCATTTTCACACAAGCATCCATATTCACAGTTCATTCCGTATGAACCTTGTGGACATCTTTCATCGCAGAGATCACCCGTCCACCCAGGACTGCAATCGCAGTGACCATCCTTATGATGGCAATGTGCTCCGTTCTGGCACAGGCAATCCGTTCGACAACCTTCGCCAAAGAAGTTTTCTGGACACATCTCAGAACATGTCTCTCCAATCCAGCCTGGTGCACAAAAGCATGAACCACTGGTGTGGCTACAATTCGCACCGTTCACGCAAGAACACACAGCTCTGCAGTCAAGTCCATAAAACCCTTCCTGACATCCAACATCACAGACTTCCCCCATCCAACCTGATGAACAAGTGCAGGTTCCATCTGTCTGATTACAGTGTGCTCCGTTTTGACATAGGCATTCCTGTGAACACCCAGTTCCGAACGTACCAAGAGGACATGGTTGGTGACATCTTGGTCCAGTCCATCCCGGTTTACAAGTACATGAACCATCGATGTAATCGCATGTACCATCATTCTGGCATTGACATATTTCATGACATCCATGACCAAAGAATCCTTCTCTGCATCTCTCATTACAAAGCTGTCCAGTCCAACCCGGAGAACAAGAACAAGACCCATCAATGTTACTGCAACTTCCACCATTTGCACATCGACACTGTTGTAAACAACCAGATCCGAAAAGTCCAAAAGGGCACGCTTGTTCACAGAACTCCCCGATCCATCCAGGTCCGCAAAGGCAGGACCCATCTAGATTATCACATGTGGCACCATTCTGGCACTGACAGCGCTCCTGGCAGTCTTGTCCATAGAAGTTTTCGTTGCAGGGCTCAGCACAAGTGACACCTTGCCATCCTGGAGCACAGGAACAAGCTCCACTAACATGATGACAAGTTCCTCTATTAACACACTGGCACTGTTGCAGGCATTCGTTCCCATAAGATCCTACTGGACACTTTTCAGCACACACTTCCCCAGTCCATCCAGATTTACAAGTGCATATTCCATCGATGTGATCGCATGTGCCATCATTCTGGCATTGACATAACTGTCGGCAGTCTTGTCCGAAAAATCCATCCTGGCAACGTGCACTGCATGCCATGCCAGTCCAACCTGGAAAACAATTACATGAACCATCAACATGGTCACACAATCCACCACTTGTGCAACCACAAAGAAGCATACAAGCATTGCCGTAACGTCCCTCTGGACATCTGTTTTCACACAAATCTCCTATCCATCCTGGTTGGCATAAACAACTCCCATCGATATGGTTGCACGAAGCATTGTTTCGACAGGCGCAAACTTCCCGGCATTGTAGACCAAAGGAGCTGTCTCCACAAGGGGATTTGCAATCTAGTCCTATCCAACCAGCAGTACACGTGCATGAGCCATCTATGTGGTTGCATGTTCCTCCATTTTCACATTGGCACTGTTGTGAGCATTTAAGCCCATAGAACCCTTCTGGACATTCTTGTTCACATGTTTCTCCAATAAAACCTTTACCACACCTGCATGATCCATCCACATGAAAACAGGTGCCTCCATTTTGACATCTGCATTCCACAGTACATCCTAATCCATAGGTGTCTGTCGGGCAAACCTCAGTACACAAGTCCCCAGTCCATCCAGGTTGGCAGCTGCATGACCCGGAAACAGGGTCACATGCGCCATCGTTAAGACACTGACATTCATTCTCACAGTTCAATCCGAAGGTACCATCCGCACAGGTATCCGTACAGAATTGTCCTCGCCAGCCAGCCAGGCATGAACAAGTGCCGTCGACATGATTGCATTCAGCTCCATTTTCACACAAGCATCCATATTCACAGTTCATTCCGTATGAACCTTGTGGACATCTTTCATCGCAGAGATCACCCGTCCACCCAGGACTGCAATCGCAGTGACCATCCTTATGATGGCAATGTGCTCCGTTCTGGCACAGGCAATCCGTTCGACAACCTTCGCCAAAGAAGTTTTCTGGACACATCTCAGAACATGTCTCTCCAATCCAGCCTGGTGCACAAAAGCATGAACCACTGGTGTGGCTACAATTCGCACCGTTCACGCAAGAACACACAGCTCTGCAGTCAAGTCCATAAAACCCTTCCTGACATCCAACATCACAGACTTCCCCCATCCAACCTGATGAACAAGTGCAGGTTCCATCTGTCTGATTACAGTGTGCTCCGTTTTGACATAGGCATTCCTGTGAACACCCAGTTCCGAACGTACCAAGAGGACATGGTTGGTGACATCTTGGTCCAGTCCATCCCGGTTTACAAGTACATGAACCATCGATGTAATCGCATGTACCATCATTCTGGCATTGACATATTTCATGACATCCATGACCAAAGAATCCTTCTCTGCATCTCTCATTACAAAGCTGTCCAGTCCAACCCGGAGAACAAGAACAAGACCCATCAATGTTACTGCAACTTCCACCATTTGCACATCGACACTGTTGTAAACAACCAGATCCGAAAAGTCCAAAAGGGCACGCTTGTTCACAGAACTCCCCGATCCATCCAGGTCCGCAAAGGCAGGACCCATCTAGATTATCACATGTGGCACCATTCTGGCACTGACAGCGCTCCTGGCAGTCTTGTCCATAGAAGTTTTCGTTGCAGGGCTCAGCACAAGTGACACCTTGCCATCCTGGAGCACAGGAACAAGCTCCACTAACATGATGACAAGTTCCTCTATTAACACACTGGCACTGTTGCAGGCATTCGTTCCCATAAGATCCTACTGGACACTTTTCAGCACACACTTCCCCAGTCCATCCAGATTTACAAGTGCATATTCCATCGATGTGATCGCATGTGCCATCATTCTGGCATTGACATAACTGTCGGCAGTCTTGTCCGAAAAATCCATCCTGGCAACGTGCACTGCATGCCATGCCAGTCCAACCTGGAAAACAATTACATGAACCATCAACATGGTCACACAATCCACCACTTGTGCAACCACAAAGAAGCATACAAGCATTGCCGTAACGTCCCTCTGGACATCTGTTTTCACACAAATCTCCTATCCATCCTGGTTGGCATAAACAACTCCCATCGATATGGTTGCACGAAGCATTGTTTCGACAGGCGCAAACTTCCCGGCATTGTAGACCAAAGGAGCTGTCTCCACAAGGGGATTTGCAATCTAGTCCTATCCAACCAGCAGTACACGTGCATGAGCCATCTATGTGGTTGCATGTTCCTCCATTTTCACATTGGCACTGTTGTGAGCATTCAAGCCCATAGAACCCTTCTGGACATTCTTGTTCACATGTTTCTCCAATAAAACCTTTACCACACCTGCATGATCCATCCACATGAAAACAGGTGCCTCCATTTTGACATCTACATTCCACAGTACATCCTAATCCATAGGTGTCTGTCGGGCAAACCTCAGTACACAAGTCCCCAGTCCATCCAGGTTGGCAGCTGCATGATCCGAAAACAGGGTCACATGCGCCATCGTTAAGACACTGACATTCATTCTCACAGTTCAATCCGAAGGTACCATCCGCACAGGTATCCGTACAGAATTGTCCTCGCCAGCCAGCCAGGCATGAACAAGTGCCGTCGACATGATTGCATTCAGCTCCATTTTCACACAAGCATCCATATTCACAGTTCATTCCGTATGAACCTTGTGGACATCTTTCATCGCAGAGATCACCCGTCCACCCAGGACTGCAATCGCAGTGACCATCCTTATGATGGCAATGTGCTCCGTTCTGGCACAGGCAATCCGTTCGACAACCTTCGCCAAAGAAGTTTTCTGGACACATCTCAGAACATGTCTCTCCAATCCAGCCTGGTGCACAAAAGCATGAACCACTGGTGTGGCTACAATTCGCACCGTTCACGCAAGAACACACAGCTCTGCAGTCAAGTCCATAAAACCCTTCCTGACATCCAACATCACAGACTTCCCCCATCCAACCTGATGAACAAGTGCAGGTTCCATCTGTCTGATTACAGTGTGCTCCGTTTTGACATAGGCATTCCTGTGAACACCCAGTTCCGAACGTACCAAGAGGACATGGTTGGTGACATCTTGGTCCAGTCCATCCCGGTTTACAAGTACATGAACCATCGATGTAATCGCATGTACCATCATTCTGGCATTGACATATTTCATGACATCCATGACCAAAGAATCCTTCTCTGCATCTCTCATTACAAAGCTGTCCAGTCCAACCCGGAGAACAAGAACAAGACCCATCAATGTTACTGCAACTTCCACCATTTGCACATCGACACTGTTGTAAACAACCAGATCCGAAAAGTCCAAAAGGGCACGCTTGTTCACAGAACTCCCCGATCCATCCAGGTCCGCAAAGGCAGGACCCATCTAGATTATCACATGTGGCACCATTCTGGCACTGACAGCGCTCCTGGCAGTCTTGTCCATAGAAGTTTTCGTTGCAGGGCTCAGCACAAGTGACACCTTGCCATCCTGGAGCACAGGAACAAGCTCCACTAACATGATGACAAGTTCCTCTATTAACACACTGGCACTGTTGCAGGCATTCGTTCCCATAAGATCCTACTGGACACTTTTCAGCACACACTTCCCCAGTCCATCCAGATTTACAAGTGCATATTCCATCGATGTGATCGCATGTGCCATCATTCTGGCATTGACATAACTGTCGGCAGTCTTGTCCGAAAAATCCATCCTGGCAACGTGCACTGCATGCCATGCCAGTCCAACCTGGAAAACAATTACATGAACCATCAACATGGTCACACAATCCACCACTTGTGCAACCACAAAGAAGCATACAAGCATTGCCGTAACGTCCCTCTGGACATCTGTTTTCACACAAATCTCCTATCCATCCTGGTTGGCATAAACAACTCCCATCGATATGGTTGCACGAAGCATTGTTTCGACAGGCGCAAACTTCCCGGCATTGTAGACCAAAGGAGCTGTCTCCACAAGGGGATTTGCAATCTAGTCCTATCCAACCAGCAGTACACGTGCATGAGCCATCTATGTGGTTGCATGTTCCTCCATTTTCACATTGGCACTGTTGTGAGCATTTAAGCCCATAGAACCCTTCTGGACATTCTTGTTCACATGTTTCTCCAATAAAACCTTTACCACACCTGCATGATCCATCCACATGAAAACAGGTGCCTCCATTTTGACATCTGCATTCCACAGTACATCCTAATCCATAGGTGTCTGTCGGGCAAACCTCAGTACACAAGTCCCCAGTCCATCCAGGTTGGCAGCTGCATGACCCGGAAACAGGGTCACATGCGCCATCGTTAAGACACTGACATTCATTCTCACAGTTCAATCCGAAGGTACCATCCGCACAGGTATCCGTACAGAATTGTCCTCGCCAGCCAGCCAGGCATGAACAAGTGCCGTCGACATGATTGCATTCAGCTCCATTTTCACACAAGCATCCATATTCACAGTTCATTCCGTATGAACCTTGTGGACATCTTTCATCGCAGAGATCACCCGTCCACCCAGGACTGCAATCGCAGTGACCATCCTTATGATGGCAATGTGCTCCGTTCTGGCACAGGCAATCCGTTCGACAACCTTCGCCAAAGAAGTTTTCTGGACACATCTCAGAACATGTCTCTCCAATCCAGCCTGGTGCACAAAAGCATGAACCACTGGTGTGGCTACAATTCGCACCGTTCACGCAAGAACACACAGCTCTGCAGTCAAGTCCATAAAACCCTTCCTGACATCCAACATCACAGACTTCCCCCATCCAACCTGATGAACAAGTGCAGGTTCCATCTGTCTGATTACAGTGTGCTCCGTTTTGACATAGGCATTCCTGTGAACACCCAGTTCCGAACGTACCAAGAGGACATGGTTGGTGACATCTTGGTCCAGTCCATCCCGGTTTACAAGTACATGAACCATCGATGTAATCGCATGTACCATCATTCTGGCATTGACATATTTCATGACATCCATGACCAAAGAATCCTTCTCTGCATCTCTCATTACAAAGCTGTCCAGTCCAACCCGGAGAACAAGAACAAGACCCATCAATGTTACTGCAACTTCCACCATTTGCACATCGACACTGTTGTAAACAACCAGATCCGAAAAGTCCAAAAGGGCACGCTTGTTCACAGAACTCCCCGATCCATCCAGGTCCGCAAAGGCAGGACCCATCTAGATTATCACATGTGGCACCATTCTGGCACTGACAGCGCTCCTGGCAGTCTTGTCCATAGAAGTTTTCGTTGCAGGGCTCAGCACAAGTGACACCTTGCCATCCTGGAGCACAGGAACAAGCTCCACTAACATGATGACAAGTTCCTCTATTAACACACTGGCACTGTTGCAGGCATTCGTTCCCATAAGATCCTACTGGACACTTTTCAGCACACACTTCCCCAGTCCATCCAGATTTACAAGTGCATATTCCATCGATGTGATCGCATGTGCCATCATTCTGGCATTGACATAACTGTCGGCAGTCTTGTCCGAAAAATCCATCCTGGCAACGTGCACTGCATGCCATGCCAGTCCAACCTGGAAAACAATTACATGAACCATCAACATGGTCACACAATCCACCACTTGTGCAACCACAAAGAAGCATACAAGCATTGCCGTAACGTCCCTCTGGACATCTGTTTTCACACAAATCTCCTATCCATCCTGGTTGGCATAAACAACTCCCATCGATATGGTTGCACGAAGCATTGTTTCGACAGGCGCAAACTTCCCGGCATTGTAGACCAAAGGAGCTGTCTCCACAAGGGGATTTGCAATCTAGTCCTATCCAACCAGCAGTACACGTGCATGAGCCATCTATGTGGTTGCATGTTCCTCCATTTTCACATTGGCACTGTTGTGAGCATTCAAGCCCATAGAACCCTTCTGGACATTCTTGTTCACATGTTTCTCCAATAAAACCTTTACCACACCTGCATGATCCATCCACATGAAAACAGGTGCCTCCATTTTGACATCTGCATTCCACAGTACATCCTAATCCATAGGTGTCTGTCGGGCAAACCTCAGTACACAAGTCCCCAGTCCATCCAGGTTGGCAGCTGCATGACCCGGAAACAGGGTCACATGCGCCATCGTTAAGACACTGACATTCATTCTCACAGTTCAATCCGAAGGTACCATCCGCACAGGTATCCGTACAGAATTGTCCTCGCCAGCCAGCCAGGCATGAACAAGTGCCGTCGACATGATTGCATTCAGCTCCATTTTCACACAAGCATCCATATTCACAGTTCATTCCGTATGAACCTTGTGGACATCTTTCATCGCAGAGATCACCCGTCCACCCAGGACTGCAATCGCAGTGACCATCCTTATGATGGCAATGTGCTCCGTTCTGGCACAGGCAATCCGTTCGACAACCTTCGCCAAAGAAGTTTTCTGGACACATCTCAGAACATGTCTCTCCAATCCAGCCTGGTGCACAAAAGCATGAACCACTGGTGTGGCTACAATTCGCACCGTTCACGCAAGAACACACAGCTCTGCAGTCAAGTCCATAAAACCCTTCCTGACATCCAACATCACAGACTTCCCCCATCCAACCTGATGAACAAGTGCAGGTTCCATCTGTCTGATTACAGTGTGCTCCGTTTTGACATAGGCATTCCTGTGAACACCCAGTTCCGAACGTACCAAGAGGACATGGTTGGTGACATCTTGGTCCAGTCCAGCCTGGTTTACACGCACAAGAACCATCAGACTGGCATGGTGACCCGTCTGGACAAAGACATTCTTCATCACATAGTGTGCCGGAGAAACCGTTGCGACACGTACAAGAGCCATCTACAGGATCACAAAAAGCAATTTTCGCACAACGGCATCTGAAAGACAAAATAATGTAAAATTGATCAAACTGTTTGATTCATGCTAACCTGTATAGACGTTAAAATCTAGTGTTTTAATTATTCGCGCAATTACCAGTGATATAGCTTCCATGGTGGTGATTCAACTGAAATGGGAAAAATTAGAAAAATTAAGTAATGATTAAATGATCCACTTTCAGTATAGAGTAGAGTCGGGGTAGAAACACAATTATTGTCAGCTAGAGCTTGATAGTCCTACCTAAATTGCCTATACCTTGTGGTTTGTTTAACTTCCATGAAAAATGAGATTTGTTAAATCCGATCGCATGCTGACCGATGCTTGGACTATCTGGCGGCTGGGATACAAATGGGGACCCGTAGATTCGAGTAATGGGTAATAAAAAAGGATATTTGACAACTGGAAGGAATCGAGGAAGTTAAAAAGCTCTCCTGATAATAGGTTCGTGGTAATGAATAAAGATCCGTAATGATTGATTATGTTCATATTAATTAGATAAGTTACCTTTGTTGACAACCCACTCCGTAGCGGTGATTAGAACACGGTTGATCACATGACTTGCCATTCCAACCAGCATTACAGGTACAAGCACCTGACCAACGATTACATGTGGCGCCATTCTGACAGGTACAGGTCTGGGAAGTGGAATCATACACATTTAAGATTTTGATTAGATTATGATGATAATCCATCAGTTGGCCATGTGTACAGTGTTGAAATCTATGACATTAAACTGATTTGTAATGCATGAAATGGACTAAGTACGGTTCGTATTTCCAGTCACTATAAGCAATAGAAGGTAATCTCCGTTGTCAAATCAGCATTCACTTTAAAACCGTTAATTTGATTTGATGTGATTTGATTTATACGGATTTGACGGTTTACCCTTTAACCAATATTGTCATACATAATTTTACTAAATTATTCTGGCTTTATACATGGCTGAAGAGACAGTTATATAATCAGGCTTTACAAATGATATGAGATCAGATAATGGAGAAGTATAAATGAGAAGCGCACGATAAAAAAGGTATGATAAACAGTATTCTTTAACGCTATGCAAGGATCCGCTTCTGCAAGCAGAACATGATGGACGAACGCATTGATTTATTAGAAACATTCGTAAAGATCTCAGTATGACAAGTGAAATGAACTTAATAAAATACTCATGATGAATGATGAATAACAATCGTTATTGCAAAGACTTTACAAACAAACAACCTTAGGCCATTTCAAAAGCTCTGTGCGTCACCTGATCATAATGTGTGAACGCGGCAATGACATTAGACGTAATCCATACATGATTTCTATACAGGCAACAAAATGGAGTAATAAATTTCACCCTTAAGTTGATTTCTTGAAAGTCTATGTGATCTTGTTAACAGGAATTAATAAGTAACTCCCGGAATGGTGGCTTACCAGTTTACAGTTTCTGCCATAGTGTTGAGCGTCGCATTTCTCCTCGCAGGTTGCCCCTTTCCAGCCCTTGTTACACGAACAGTTTCCAGTTTCTCGGTTGCATTTGGAATTTTTCTTGTGACAGGTACATGTGTTAGCACAACCAACACCCCATGTATTCTTTGGACATTCTACACAGAAAATCAAGAGAATGTGTATTACTATCCAAGGGTGTCCTTAGAAGTGTTGTCGTCTAGTAGATAAGTCACCCGACTGAAGATCGCAAGGTACGGGGTTCGAGTCCCGCCGCGGCACTAATGTCCTTTGGCAAGACTTTAATCTACATTTGCCACTCTCCACCCATGTGTTAAATGGGTACCCGTTATGATGTGAAATTTAATGTGTTTGGATGAGCAAGTGGCGCCTGTAAAATGGCGACTGACCGGAATGCTCCACAGGGAATGGATAATGTGCTTACAATGTGTGCGGGTAAGCCTGAATCCGATGACCAGGGTAATAACAAGTGCTGCACCTAGAAACAAAGTATTAGGCGCATTATAAATGTAAGCTATTATTAATCGAGACGTTATGAGGATGAAATTAGAAACTTGTAAATTCATCTTGTGTTACCTGCCCCCTAAAAGGAACAGTTTGAAGAGCCGATCATGCAACCTGAATATTGATTGAAAAATAAGCGAGTATTGAAATAAGTAATAAGCAATTTAAGATAAAACAAGAACGACGAAAAAAAAATTAAATCAACTACATTTTTGCACTTACTGATTTTTTCTTACGATACAATCTTATCGATATTAAGATTAATTATTCTGCATCCTTCTTGCAATTAAATAAATTAAAGTTAACAGAGTTTTATAATACCATTAATCAAGGGAAATGGCATATTTTCATCAAATACGTGAACATAATTCTAACTTATAATAGCAATCTAAAGAGTCGAAAGGGGAAATGGGATAAACAAATAACGAATCAAGGTTAGTTAAAGCTTTAAAAAAACGTTGGTTGCCTTAGATATTCCATGTGATTTGAGTGGGAAATCAATTTTAAAAGAACTTCATGACAATGATCCAGTACTCGAGCCAAGGAAGGAAATTACCATAAACACTTTATCACTCTCCAACAATCCGAAAATAGGACTGGGGTGACAAGTCAGGTGTTTCCTTTCTTGGTTGTTAAGCATCCAGAATTATCACCACGCAAGTTTTATAGTTTGAAATTGATTTCAATGAAAATAAACAGGTACTTGTTTGAAGATTGCCAGTAGATTCATAATGGTGGAGGTGCATATGAAATGAAGCCAATTCCGGCCTCGGGACGGCATCTGATGGCTCATTTTTGAATAAAAAACAAATTAAAACAATTTCATGACGATACGTGAAATTTTTGTTCTATAAGGAGCGTAATTTAGACAAATTATCATAGCATAGCTCCAGGTGCACGTGTTCCACCTCCCCCTCTTGAAAAATATCGAATGGCAGAAGAGAGGGTAATAAATTTATTTTATTTTTAATTGTTGTCAAATTTATTCATTTAAAGAATGATTGTCCACGATTTTTTTAATTGTCGTTAAAAATATTCATTTTGAATATGAATAAATTTGTTGTTGTTGTTGTTGTTTGGTATTATTGGCATTTCATTCTTTTTTAGAATATTTACGCCTTTCACTTTTTTCTTTTTTACTATTTGTAAATTCGTACTCTTCTAAAATCATAGTTTTTGTTTGTTTGATAATATAATCTCAGATCCACTGGTCCATGAAAACCCTTCACCACAATTGGCACCTTCCTGCGAGACCGGCGCGGTACATTGCGCAATCTTCTCGGCCATCATTGCCCTAGGCATCTCTGGTGCCGGTGAGAGGATTCTGGGGTAGATCTTCAGAGTCTCTTGTTTGGGGTTTACCGTCCTCTATCCCTCTTTACTCTTTCTTTCCTTTTCCCTTCTAGTATTTTTCCTTTTTTTCTTAAACCTTATTTTTCTATCAAAGTAGGTATCAACATCTTAGAGCATTTGGTTATCGTGCGATATGTGCAAAAAAAAAAAAAAAAAAGATGACATAACTTATATGAGCATAATGCATAAAGATACATCATGTATATCATTACATTTCATATATTTCCAACTAAATCAATGACTTACTTCGAGTGCACTTGCCCCTCTTTTCCAGCCAGCCAGCACAGCAACCAAGAGCTGTAATACCGTATGAATTCCTGTATAGAGACAGAGTTACTACGATTAAAACATTATTACAAATATATGTCTATCAGCAATCATTCCGGGTACCTATACCTAAAGAGAACAGTTTAAGATTTCAAAATCTAAGCAAGGGATCTTGTCATGTCGGTGCGACTTGAAAGCCCAGCGTTGTCGTGTAGTTCATAACATTGTCACTTGGTTCCACCAAGAAAAAATATTATTAAACCTCTAGAGTCATATTGGTGTTCATGTACTTTTAATACTTAAGTGGTAATTCATCATTTGAAAGGGCCGCGGAGTGACCAATTTTTCTAAATGGTAGATTTACATAATGTTACCGTCTAAGATGGCCTGGGAGAATATGACAGAGATATTTTTAATTTATTAACAGCATGCTCTCTGCCAAATGATTATTAGGAAAATCAAAGTTTCAATCAAATCGTGGGGGAAATGAAAAATTAAGAAAATAGAGCATGTGTATTTATGGTGACGGAGAAGGTTCGACAGATGGATTTAAGGAATGGGGCTATAATGAAGGGGATATAAAATTCAATTCAATTCACTTCAATTCAAATTGTATTGATTTAAATCCAAACAAATAGGATCATTCTCAATACTTTTGTTATTCATGGGATAACAGATTTTAAGATTATAGTGTAAAATAGATTGTAAGTAGAGTGCAAGAGTAAAGATAACAATAACCAGGAATGGCATAAATTAACGTACTACTAAATGTCTCTTCTGGAATATAATGCAGGGATGAAAATGATTACTCGTAATACTTTTTACAATTTGTTGTTGTTCGCCTTTTCTTTTCAAATAAAAAAGAAACAAATACAACATGATAGTAAGTCTAACAGCCTTTTCACACACGGGTAAAATTCTTTAAAGCTGATTAGTTTGTGAAAAGGCTGCTTGTATCTGTCCGAACATCGTATAAACGACGTTCACACGGGGAAAAAATTCTTTAAAGCTTTTTAAAGCTGTTGAGTTAACAGCTTTAAACTAATCAGCTCTAGATACGATGAATTTTAGCTGTGTGTGAAAAGGCTCCCTATTCAAAATCCAAACTCGTGGGAGACAGCGACAACGGGATGACAATCACGGGATGCTTTTTACAATACTCAATTTCATCGAGATTAATGCTATGGTAAACAAACAATCAATGATCTACTAATTTCGTATATGGTCGTACATAGACAGAGTCACGGAGAATGTGGGGTGGGGGTGTTTAGAGAGCGAATAGAAGAAATAACACCGAGAGTAGTTTCAAAATGTAAGTGAGTAGATTTCTTCTACATCATAGAACGATTGATCTTGCATGATATTCGTGACAAATATTAGTGTGTAGAATTAATTGTGTGTGTTTCAGTGTAAATGTGATTGTTTTGCGTGTTCACTGATCACACCAAATAACTCTATTTTTATTTTAGCTACGAGGAAGCAAGGTTGCACGGACAATAAAACACATGATAAATAGTATTCCCTTTTCGTTATTTTATTGAGGTATAAACTGCACACTTGCAAGTGTAGTCAGGCAATATGAATGACTTGGAATAAGAATGACATTAATGAGAAATGAGAATATTGCACGGAGATTAAATGGTCATGTACTAAATGAGATGGACATGAATGAATGCAGTGAATAAATTAAGCTTACGACAAAGTAGGTATGACGTCGAAAGTTCCATGGAAATGATGACGATCGAGTGATGAACGAGGAAAGGGGCTCAGTCACGGGATGATGAAACGGAGGCTTGAAGGCGGAAACGCGACTTCGTTGGCGTGGCTGAAGAGCCGTGAAGAAACGCGATGTCGACGCTGACGCTCGTGATGGTGATGATGATCATGATGATGATCTCGGGCGAGAAGAGAAGTGAAGAAGTGCGGCGCTGAAGAGGAGGCAGTGAGTCGCTCGTTGTCGGAGGCCAAAGAAGAAATGCGGACATCAAAGCCAGTGGTGATGCAGAGCAGTGATTAAGAAGCCGTCGGAAAACACATCAACAA